TGTTTGGGCTACAGGAAGACGTAAAATGGATTTATGCGTAAATAGCTAATTAGGATAGGTAATTTGGACTTGTAATAGCAGTGGATGGCCGGTCACGCTAGCCGAGCGGTCTAAGGCATGTACTGTCTTCGCTCGCTTGGAAACCGGGATCGTGGGTTCGAATCCCACTCAGGGCATGGATGTTTAGTTTGTGTGTGTGCGTTTTTCTGTGTTTGTGTACAGGTAGAGGCCTTGTGACGAGCTGATCACTCGCCCAGGGAGTCCTACCGTATGTGTAAGATCTAGAAAAACCGAAGTGAACGGAGAAGTTCATGGAGGTAGGCCTAGGCCCACTGGGGCTGTAGTGCCAAGGGGGGGTGGGGAAGAGAAAAAATAGCGGATGACTCTAGGGTTCAGGGAAATGAGATTCTTTCTCAGGGGTCGATGTATGGGGAAGAAGGACGTAACAGTCGCGACAGGAAGCTGCGGTATCTCATCCTTTAATTCAGTAAAATTTACCGAAATTTATATTACATTTCATGTTTCACTCCTGCTGTTGTCACTGTGGGTACGACTTAATGTTGTTACAGTTTTTAAATTAGAAATGGATATATTTTAGATAAAGAGCCAGAATAGCCCAGTCGGTGTAGCGACCAGGCTAGTAGCTGGACGCCCATGGTTCGATCCCTGGTAGGGGCATTATTTTCTCTTCTCCATAGCGCCAAGACCGGCTCTGTGGTCTACCCAGTCTCCTATCCAAATGGAACCGGAGGAGCTTTCCCCAGAGGTATAGCGGCAGGGGCGTGAAGCTGACCACTCACCTCCATCTAGTGCCGAGGTCAAGAATAGTCGAGCTATTCACCTCTGTCTTTGCTGTAAATTATACTTGTCAACAGTTGATCTGTATGACTATTTAGATCGCTGAAGGATAGAAAAGACGAAGAATGTGTTTGGAAACAGCTTGTCCTCTGTGGAGTAGAATTGTGAAAGAGAGCGAAAGTAAATGAAGTTCCGAACATATTGGAGCGACAGAGATGCGAAGTTCACTTTCCTGCGAGAGGCCCTTGACATAATTAACCAAGGTTACGTATGTTGGCTCGCAGAACATTTGTACGAGTAACCTGTGAGATAGGCCACCGGTACATCAGTGCATAAAAATGAGTTGTAACAAGGATACCTGTCCATTTTAAAGCAGAAGGGCTATAGTTGTATATACCACCCTACTCGAACATTCAGAATCAAGAGTTTTTACCACAGAGCGTAAAGAGTGATCCAAATCAGTTCCTAAAATATCCTCTCGTAATAACGGCAAATCTTCAAGTTTGTAGAACGGTATCAGTGTTGTGGATCGTCTTTTGAGTATGGAAGATGTAATTTCGGACACTCTTTTTTTGTATTATCAGTAATTAATAAAGAAATTTCTAACGTATTTTAGCGTACATTTCACTAACGATTTAACTGACTTTTGGTCATTATATATTTGTGGATTTTTTATGATTACCAAAATAACCGGAGGGCACGCGGTAGCGTAGTTAGTTGAGGCACTATAAGCCGGAAGGTCGCGGGATCGAATCCCGATGAGGTACATTTTTTCAGTTTACCTAATCCTTCCGCGTAGGTGGGTGGACAATATAAAAATGGATCTTAGAGAGATAGGATGGGATGGTATGGATTTGATTGATCTGGCTGAGGGTAGGGACCAGTGGAGGGCTCTTGTGAATACGGTAATGAACCTTCGGGTTCCATAAAATGCTGGGAAATTCTTGAGTAGCTGCAGATTTGGCTTCTCCTCAAGAAGGATTCAGCTCCATAAGTAAGTAAATACCTAATCCTTCCATCCGCACTATGGCCCTGGGGTCGACTCAGCCTCTAACAGAAATGAGTACCAGGAATATATTCTTGGGGGGTAAAGGGCGGCCGGCGCGTGAGGCTGACAAGTTTACCGCCATCTATGAGCCGATTGTCTAGAAAATGTGGGAACCTCAACATCTCACAACCCTCTGGGCCTCCACGGCCTGATGGATACCTTTACTTACTTTCCTTTTACCAAAATAAACTGCGGTTATTTCCCAAAATATGTGTAACCCATTGGTCTTTGTAATGGAGACACTTCAGCTTCCTGTGAGGTACGAACTGAATGTATAAATGAATGAGGTTGAAGGGGTGGAATACTAATCATTCTGATTGCCCAGGGCTCCCTCACAGTTGTAAATCCGGCCATGTTCAGTTGCAGGGTAGTAGCTTGATAAAGTATAATTCAGATACTGGACAGAAGATGGCGCTTTACGTAATACTTCACATTTCAGTGTCCTCACGCCAAGGTCTGCACAAGGGGAAATGAAGACCGGAAGTTGTTTAGGAATGACTATGATGAGAATTTCAGATACTCGCTGGCAGATGACACATTTTGGTAGCGCAGTGGACGATTTTAAGTGTATAAAATGAAAGTGGAAAGTGTGGTGTTTCCATCTAACAATCTTATGCGAACGATTATAAACGCATATAAAGGGATGTGTGTGTTACGGTAAAACGAATGAATTTGTAATTATGAATAATAGCCTGTAATTATGTAGAACTACCAAAAATAGTAAAAAATGTGGCGGTAATCACTTTTACCGGTAATTAAGAATTAATTACAATTATTTTAAAAAGTTTAGTTTCATGTACGAATGCTTTTGGAAGAACGAACGAAGCAGGTATGGAGCGGTGTTACCAACCTATGCGTTTCGAAGTCTAGTGCCGATTGGCAGCCTAAAGAGAAATATAATTTTTATTATATTTACCAGTAGAAGTTGTTAATTATGAATAGTAACCGGTGATTATTCGTAATTACGGATAAATATGATTATTATCACGAGATTTATCACATTTACCATTGGTTTAGGTAATTCTATTTAATTACCGGTTGTTATTCATAATTTGCCGGTTTATTCACATTGACCATAACATGTACACAACTCTTAAGTCCCGCTCCTGTGGTCTGGTGGTCAGTTACTGGCTACAGGTCCAGAGGTCCCGGGTTCGGTTCCCTACGCTACTAGATTTTCTGAGAAATAGTGGGTCTGGAACGGAGTCCACTCAGCCTCGCGAGGATAATTGAGTAGCTTTCGATGAATTAGCGGCTCCGGTCTAGAAAACAGAGATTAATGGCCGTGGGGATCCGTTTAACTTCGTTGACAAGCGGCGGTCGCTCGGTCGGTATAGTTCGCTTGCAGACTACAGGCCACTTAGTTTTTGTTTGTTTTTTGTACACAGCTCTTTCCGTTTGGTGTTTCCGTCGAGCAATTTGTGTCAAAGAGTGTGCAGAGTACTAGAAAGAAGTTCTGGGAAGACCTCGCTGCATCTCCTTCCCTCAGAAGCGTCAACCTGTATGATGAGGCTGTCAAGAGTTATAAATTACTAATGATACAGAAACGCTGATAGATTTCTGTGTTAAATTTCCGTTAGTACAAATCCAGTCTACGTTAAATGTGGCAGATATAACTTCAAAGTAATGTTTGCCCTCATGTTTGTAATATTTTAACACTTAAAGAAATCTGAAATAAAAATTTGTAGATATGATCCATCTTACGTAAATTTTCACATGACCATCTCAAATGGTTCACTATTTACCGCCAACAGTGCCAACCAAATATTAAGTCAAGGGTTACTATCATCTTGTGTCATGTGACGCAGTATATAGATACTATGAAACGTTGGTACATACCTACCAGGCTACACAACGTCACTTCCCAGAAGAAGTTTTATCTCATATTCACCGCCGTGAGAACCTCAAGTCTCACAAGTTAAATACGATTTAGCTCTCACTGATGTAACTTGGTGTGTGGTACGTCCATGCTACAGAGCAGTTGACGCAAACGCCCTGTGTTACGTAGATTCAAGTTCTCTGGCATAGACGCCAGGTGTGTCCTGACTATTGTGCGTCACTCCTCTCAGGCCATCCACAAAAATGGATGGCCCTGGCTGCTTAATAAATGGGCATCAGACCAAGGGCCCATCTTATGATGGGCACACACCAGTGGTTTGAGATATGAACTGACATAATCGGTATCTTTTTTGTTGCTAGAATTGTATTTCTGAACAGTGAACAGTTTCTGAACAGTGAAACCGGAAGCGAAACATTTCTTGATATATTGACATGTAGACCTACTACCCAGGATGGCTCAGTCGGTATAGTGATGGGTTACCGGCTGGACGGCCGGGTTTCGATTCCCAGCAGGGCCAAGAGATTTTTCTTCACTTCACAGTGTCTAGACCGGCACTGGGCCCTATCCAGCTTCTTATCCAGAGGGTACCGGAGGCTCTTTCCTTTGGGTACAACGGCAGGGGCGTGAAGCTAGTCACTCACCTCCATCAAATACCGAGGTCAAGAATGATGAAGCCAAATCTCCACTCTCCCGTACGCCTTCATGGCGTGGTGCATGATTTATTAAGCACAGGGACAACTTTACAGTTTACTATAAAATTTTAAGCACGTATACGGATGATGTATTTGTTGTTTTATACTTTACTGGAACCTGTTTTTTTGTTTTTTTGTTTTGCAGTGTTATAGCAGAAGGACTTGTGCTAGTAAAAATACATGGGAGCTGGCCCAGGATATGACTGAAATAATCTTTCTGGTCATTCAGGGCACGCGGTAGCGTAGTTGGTTGAGGCATTATGCTACAAGCCGGAAGGTCGCCGGTTCAAGTCCCGATGAAGTCATTGGATTTTTTCAATTGACCCAATCCTTCCAGCCGCATTATGGCCCTGGGGTCAACTCAGCCTCTAACAGAAATGAGTACCAGGAATACTCTTGGAATATTCTTGGGGTTAAAGGGAGGCCGGTGCGTAAGGCTGACAACCTTGCCGCCATCTATGAGCCGATTGTCTAGAAAATGTGGGCCCCCAGGGCCTGTTACGGGGATACCTTTACTTTACTTTACTTTACTTTAACATTCGGTTGTGCTTTAGATGTGAGGATGGCCGGAAGTAGTTGTGCAGTGATTACACGTGCATTGCCGGAAGGAGAGAAGTGCACTGTGGCTGACACACTAAGCCGGGTCCAGACTTGTTGCGTATCCCCGTTGGAAAATGATACGCAACGGGCTGTTCGCTTGCTTGGCCGTCTTTTCCCGTCGCATCAAAGGGACGACTCGGGTTGCAGTGGTGCCAGTCTGGGGCGGCTGCATCGCGCTTTGCTTATCAGCTCCAGACAGTTGGAGTGTAGTCATCACCAGTGTGCGTTCTTCTGTTTGTGATTCTCTGTTTATATACTCTGAATGGAGTGGAGTAAGGAGAGCATTATATATTTAATTGATGAATATAAAAAGAGGGATGTTATTTGGAATACCCGAAACACAGAACATTACAATAAAATAAAAAAGCAGGACGCCTGGGAGGAGATAGGAAAGGAACTGAACAGATCAGTTGAGGAATGTAAAAGAAAAATGGAGTACTTGCTGGCTTCACTAAGGAGAGAGAGAATGAAGATGAAGAAACAGACGGGAACGGGAAAAGGTGAGTACTTCATAAATGAAATGTTAATTAAATAGTGAATAACGCTTTCATTATTCATTCTTATAATTTCAAATTTTTATTTTCATGGTTTTTAGGAGCAGATGAAGTCTACAAAAGTTCCTGGTTCGCATTTGAAAGCCTGCGATTCATCTGGGATAAGAATAAATCAAGACCAACACTGTCGACGGTAACTGCTTGTCTATCAAAATAAAATAATGCAACTAACTAAATTAAGAAGTGCATGGTTTTTCTCGGCATTGTACGCTGTACTTTCATTCACTATGCATATTCATCTTGGCACATCACTCTTCCTTACTCAAGAAAATAGTCAGCTAATTCCGCCCTTATGTCTTGCATGTTTGACTTTGTTTTACTTCCTACCTTCTTCATCGGCAGAAGGGAGTTCAAATCACCAGTGGTGCTTCTCCAGGCACCATCCGTGATAACGCCATTTTCTTCCGAATCGAATGCCCCTGTTGGAGTATAGACTGCTGCAGATTCAGGTTGTCTTCGTAAGAAATTATGCAACAGAGTGATAGTCATCACAACGAGTTGAGTTTTTCTTTGTTCCAAAAGTAGAGGTTTCCGAAGCACACGAAAGTTTGAGGAAACAATGCCAAACACATTTTCTACAAGTCGACGGGCTCTGCTCAGTCTGTAGTTAAAAATCCGTTCCTTGGAGCCCTTGGGATGATAACCAGGATAAACTTTCACCAAGTTTTCAGACATTGGAAAGGCTTCATCTCCAATCAAAAAGAAAGGTAAAGCTCTCCGTCCCTTGAGCGGAGCAGGTTGAGGTAGATTCAAACTGTTTCTTGTCATCCTTTTGCAGAACTCGGTATTTGCAAACACTCCACCGTCAGAAATCCTCCCTTGGCACCCTGTGTCCACAAATATGAAGTTGTAGTTGGCATCACATATAGCGAGGAGTACTAAGCTGAAGAAACCTTTGAAGTTGAAATACTCGCTACCGCTGTTTATAGGACACTGCAGAGCGATGTGCTTTCCGTCAATAGCTCCCAGTGTGGGAAATTCCACGTCCTTTCAAACTCATTAGCCACTCCCAGCCATTCATGTTTTGTTTTTGGTATCTGTAAATACAAAGAACAAAAATCTGTTATAGGTTCCGAGAGAATGTGAGACAGAGACAGTTGAAGGCGGCGACGACCACGACGAAGAACCCCGGCACACATCCACGAGAAAAAAACGGAAGGTCTGTGATGACGACCAGCGACTTGACAAAGCTTTCAAAATATTAACAGCATCAACCAACGAAAAGAAGGACTGCCAACACTTTGGAAATTTGGTCGCCTGCAAATTGAGGGCATATGATGAATCTATTCGCTGTGCTATCCAAAACGATATCATGCGTATTTTCCTTAGGGCAAGCAGTGGTTTTTATAAAAATTACAACACTGCGACTTACGGAACAGGCCCAAATTCTTTCCTCTACTACAAAGGGCCACCAAATGCCCACTACCCTTCTTCTTCTTCCCCTCAGTTTTTTCCCAGCAACAAACAGCAACCTTTCCTGAATACACCTTCAACAGTTTCCTTCCCTCAATCTCCTTCACCAGGTACGGCCTCAGAAGACGACTTACTTATTCAGGACATTGTATAAATGTGTTCATGTAACGATTTTACACAAGTGCCTTTAATGCAGAAATGCCTGCATCAAAATTAAATTAATGAAACAAATCAATATTTCACATTTAGTTTTGCTGTAATCTGCAAGCTCTATTTTATTTCAGAAATATCAAATAAAGTAATCAAGAAACAAGAAACCATATTGTTTGCTTCATTTGGTGGTTAATGACAAGTACTCACTAACCTTAATGAAGTCCTTCAGTGCTTCCACAAGAGCGCCACAAACTTCAGGAACAATGGTGCTGATTGTTTGCTTCGATATTTTGAAGAGGTATTGAAGACTGACGTATGAGTCTCCAGTTGCCAAAAATCGCAGTGTTACAGCCAACCTTTCCTGAACAGGAATTGCTTTTCTGAACACGGTATCTTTTTTAAAAATTTTCGGCCCGATCAAATTTATCAACAACTCAAAATCTGACGGATGCATCCTTGTGGAATTTTTGTACATCCCACTGACTGACTGAAAATTTAAGTCCGCCAAAAGATTGGACCCATTGTATGCTTTCCTACTGGCATAGATCGGTGATATACACACACGTCATGATTTTGTTCTTCTTCCCTTTATAGCATAGTGAAGATAGATGTACGCGGCCGCTGCTACCGTCAGATTGGGTGTAGTCATTGCTGACTGAAATCTGGCTCGAGACTGAGATTCATTTCTTCGTTGCCAAGGAGAAAGTTTGTCTCGTTGCGTCAGTTGATACGGGAGATACGCAACAAATCTGGACGCAAAATTTTGTCGCGTTGCATAGGACGATACGCAACGGAGATACGATACAGGGATACGCAACAAGTCTGGACCCGGCTCTATAATGCGGGCACACGTAGCGTAGTTGGTTGAGGCACTATGCTGCAAGCCGGAAGATCGCGGATTCGAGTCCCGGGGAGGTCAGTGGATTTTTTAATTGACGTAATCCTCCCAGCCGCACTATGGCCCTGGGGTCGATTCAGCCTCTAACAGAAATGAGTACCAGAAATCATCCTGGAGGTAAAAAGCGGCCGGCGCGTAAGGCTGACAACCTCACCGCCATCTTTGAGCTGATTGTTTAGAAAAATGTGGGAACCTAAACTTCTCACAGCCCTATTGACCTCCATGGCCTGTTACAGGGATGGCTTTACCTTTCTCACACACCCTATAATCCTCATCTCAGTGGACTCGGCCAGTGCCGCTGCGCCTGATGTTGAGAACTGGCAGAGCTAGAAACAGGGACAGTGCTTGATAAGGTAGCGGCATATCTCGGTTCAAGTATTGTCTCTTTTTAATTAATTAATTTATTTAGGCTTATATTTCATAATCCACGAAGATTGAAGTGACAGCTTTTCTGGTCATCCGTGACAAGTTTAACTTTCGTTTGTTTTTACCTGTCCTTCACAATGTATACGTAATTTTCGGTGATAAAAATCGAACGTGTCAGATTATGGCAGCATAATTATTTTCAATCGCGTTATCGAATATTAAAAATTTTTAACTTTACGCTGAGAGAACGCCTAAGAAGCTTGTCCCCTACTGGATTTAACTTCTTTTGTTATCTGTACAAGCGAATCTAATTGTTGCCACACTGGGAAGCATTTTATATGTCTGTTTGGTGGTAACTATAATATAGGGTGTTCCATTCAAACCTCCCACATTTTATCAGATCTTAGAACAGAAAGTATGAATGGTAGGGAAATGAAGCTACAGGAAATACAAGAACAACCCAAAACATTTTATTTGACACTAATACACCCCTACATGTGCATCATTGATAGCACGAACAGTGTCCAGTCTCTATTCAATTTCTTGCCACGTTCTTTCCAACATGTCCATTGGTACAGTAGCAATCGTTTCACAGATGCGGGCTCATAAATCTGGGAGGTCATTCACTGGAGGCACGAACACACGGTCCTTCACGTAACCCCAGAGGAAGAAATCGAGCGGAGTGAGGTCCGGTGAACGTGGTGGTCACCGAATTGGTCCGCCACGTCCAATCCAGCGATCTTGAAAGGTGGCATTTAGGGACCTCCAAACATCCAGTCCCCATTGTGGGGGCGGGGCGCTCCATCTTTTTGGAAGATTATGTTAGGCGCTGCAGATCGGCTACCCGGGGATACAAGAACTGTTCTAACATGTCAAGGTATACGCGGCCGGATATTGTAGTTTCACCGAAGGAAAACGGAAATACATTTTTTTTTAGTTTTTCTTTCATCTAGTGTTAATTATAATCCATAATTTTTCATAATTTGTTCGCAGTGATTAATTAAACTGTGGGAGGTTTGAACGGAACACACTGTATATTTTTTTTTCAAGCACTGCGTTGTGTTCTCATATCACTTGGTGACGTGTTGATACGTTTTGTAATAAGTAGTTGTAATTGTAAATGAGAGTTGCTTAATTCCTTTAGCTTGCCTTTTCATTTTTTTTGTAAGCATTGTAGAAAGACGGACAATGATGACGAAGCAGCAGTGTACATATAAACGATAAAGTTGTAGTGTAGTGGTTGGCATCCCTGCTACACATTCGTGAGATCAGGGTGCAGTTGTCGGTTTTACCGCAGACTATTGTTGCAGAAGAAATGTCGCGCTTCTCCCTTATCTGTATGTGCAAAACCTGGGCTTTTGCTGTAAGTCCGTAATGAAGATTATGGGTAATCATTTGGTTTGTTCTATGGTTTGTTTATTTGCCGACATAGACTTAACATTCCTCACTAGCCGCTGCTGACCCACTGTTGCGTCATTACAGGCGACACTGTCTTCATCCAAGGGGCAGCAGCAACTCCGCTGGAACTTGTGAAAGAAATGACAAACTACGGCAAAACTGCAGGCCTCAAGGATGTGACGGTGTGCCACATGCACACCGAGGGCGTGGCAGGATACACGGAACCCGAATTCGAAGGTGAGCCGAAGTTGACTTCTTTGCTGTTGAGTCCAGTGAAGTGAATTCTCATAATCAGAACGAGAAGTTCTGGTATGAGGTCTAAGTTTCTCACAACAGTGAAGGTTCATATTGTGATATCTTGGGTTATGATACATTGTAGTCTGTGTGCATACACCGCTTCCATCTTCAGAACCGATGACGGAAACAGCATGTTTCTGAGAGACATTTAATATTCTACCCTGAAGATGAAAGCATTCCTCTGAAATGTTGGTAGCGATCTACCAGACTGGAGGGCGTCATAGTCTTCGTAGTCACTTTAAGAACCTTAGATCTCGTATAGACAAGAAGTTCTGATCAGTAGTCATAAAGCATGTATTTTATTGCATATTGCCCGTATTTTTAGACCTGGCCGCCCTCAACAAACTGCGCAGTGGATTTGACTGAGGTAAGTATTGTAAAGACCATAAAGAAAAACACACCGACTTTAACTGACGCAAGTACAGAGGTTGGTCTAGAAGTAAACACAGAGAAAACTAAGTATATGTTGCTGTCTCGTCACCAAAATGCAGGACAAAATCATGTCATAAAGATAGGAAACAGATGTTTTGAAAATGTGGCACTGCTCAAATATTTGAGCATGACAGTAACGACTCAAAATTTGATTCAGGAGGAAATTAAGAGGGGATTGAAGTCGGGTAATGCTTGTTACCATTCAGTCCAGAACCTTTTGTCTTCTAGTCTGCTGTCCAAAAACATAAAAATTAGAACATACAAAACTATAATTTTGCTTGTGGTTCTGTATGGATGTGAAACTTGGTCTCTGACATTAAGGGAGGAACATAGACTGAGGGTGTTTGAGAACAGAGTTTTGAGGAGAATATTTGGACCGAAGAGAGATGAAGTGACAGGAGGTTGGAGAAAACTGAATAAGGAGGAGCTTCATAACTTGTACTCCTCTGCAAATTTGATGAGAATGATCAAGTCAAGTAGGATGAGGTGGGCAAGATATGTAGCAGGAATGGGAGAGAAGAGGAATGCATATAGGATATTGGTGGGAAATCCAGAAGGAAAGAGACCACTGGGAAGACCAAGGCGCAGGTGGGTGGACAATATTGAAATGGATCTTAGAGAGATAGGATGGGATGGTATGGATTGGATTTCTGTGGCTCAGGATAGGGACCAGTGGAGGGTTCTTGTGAACACGGCACTGAACCATTGGGTTCCATAAAATGCTGGGAAATTATTGAGTGGCTGCACAATTGGCGGCATCTCAAGAAGGGCACAACTCCATGAGTGAGTGAAAAATATATCGTAGCGTCTCGCTGCACCTTAATAGTTGGTTAACAGATGTCTCTGATGTACCATCTACATGCAACACTTTTGAAAAATTGTATTTGAAAGTTGCTATATATACATAATGCGTATTTTAAACTTGTTTTAAGAGCCACGTTGTCCACTACATGTTTCGACCGTCATTGATCATCAGCGGGTGTTTGAAAACTGTTCTGTGGAGGCTGCTGCGCTTGCGGTTTTCTTCTAGTGTAGGCCGTGTAGCCCGTAACACATTCCGAGGTTTTCGTGTTGCTGCGTCTTCCCCTGCCGCGTTTTGTGTTTAGACCACGAGTAATACATATAGGATTTTGGTGGGAAAGCCGGAAGGAAAGAGATCAACAGGAAGACTGAGATTTAGGTGGTAGGATGATATTAAAAGGGATCTTAGAGAAATTCTTGAGTAGCTGAGCGACTGGCAGCTTCTGAAGAAGGACTCAGCTTCGTGGAGTTACCTGCTGAACTCTTGATATTCCCTCGTGCAACCATAAACTGAACACAGGAGTAATAGCGCTCCTGTTGCTGTTTAGTGTAGACTGTAGAGTCTTGAAGCGCCGTGTCGTGATCCAAAAAGAACTGAAGCTTGCGTTATTGTCGCTATTTATGCTGTAACATGGCGGTCGGGCAAAGTCTGTATTTAGTTTTGACGTTGTTAATGATAAGTTAAGCCACTACAGCAAGGCGTAGGAAATTGTATATGGAGATACAGCACAAACATGGCTTCAAATTTTGTGCGAAAAATTTCTTTTATATGTTAGAAATTAGAGAAGTAACAACAGTTACTATATACTTCGAGGTAACGTGAGGAAAATATCAGGAAGACGGAATTGATACTAGGGGAAATTACGGATAGATATTATCACCGTCTGTAGGCTCATAATTATTACTTTTGCTAACCGCCTTGTGAAAGTGCAGAAGTTAAGTCTTGTTAAGTTATTTCCGCAGCTTATTGTGTGTGTGGGTTTATTTTTTGTTGGTAAAGTAACGAGTCATAAGTTTGGCAGAGGTTTACATGGAAGACCGTGGTGGCCAGGCGTTCGAAAACTCTTCGCTTGACGTGTGTTTACGTATGTGAGTTTGATGACGTCAGTTGATGTAGACATTCTTGGCTACCAGAGGTTACAGCATTGTTTATGCCGTACATGTCGTTGATGCAGGGACGAATCTTGAAAACAGAGCATTTTATTATGCGAGCTTTGCACGGAGTACAACTGTAATTATGTCTGTCTGGCCTCACAGTCGTATTGTTAACCACTTACCAGATTTAACTGAGACGTGGTAATGTGGGATTTACACGAAGCGTTGTGACACGAATTGAATTTTGGTTCATAATCCAGAATAACCCGCTCTGAAGAGTTTAAACTGAACTGTATAATTTTTTCTGTCGAGCCATCCATTTGTGCAATAAATTGGTTAGAACAAACTTGGCTTTAAAGTCTGTAACTTATTGGAACATTTTTCTGTATGGTGAATATTTAAAGAAAGACAAAGATGACTGATATATGGCTGTAAGCAACGTTATAGGCTGTCTGTAGTTCGATTACCTTTGCAACAGCAGAACTGGTGAGGTAAGAAAAATGGAAGAGACCGGTTTGTGGGGGGGGGGGAGATAAGAAGAAGAAAAAAGAAAAGAAGAAAGTGCACAGCGTTAATCTGTACCTTTCCACTACCTACCTACCTACCCACTACCCA